GGACCTTTAATGAAAGTGCCCTTCTACGCAATGATATTCCGTACTGTCAACTATTTGTCCATACCTCGCTGCATTACACTGCAGCCCGTATCCACTTGAATAAGTGGTTTACAATATGTTCTTTATATCCTCTCCTTCTCGAGCATTTTCTATCCCAGACTTTGCCTTTCTTGTTTCATCCTTACCACCACCACTTCTGTTACTTGGTGATTTTAATGCCCACCATTTCCTCTGGGGGGGGGGTCTCACTGTGACTCACGTGGCATCCAGTTGGAGGCTTTTCTCGCCTCTCACCCCCTCCATGTTTTAAATACGGGTACTCCCACCCATTTTGATCCTCGTACTCATACTCTCTCTTGCATTGATCTATCAGTCTGCTCTTCCTCCACTGCACTAGACTTCACCTGGTCTGTTCTACCGGACTTACATGACAGCGATCATTTTCCAATCATTCTTACTTCTCCTTCCTATTCACCACCTTTCCGTAGCCCTCGCTGGCAATTTGATCGGGCAAATTGGGATCTTTACTCACACCTCACTGCTTTTAGTGAGGTACCTTCTTCATCCTCCATTGATGAGCTCCTACACATCTTCTCGACGTCAGTTTATACCGCAGCTTCTCATTCTATACCCCAAACCTCAGGCAGGCATTCTCAGAAGTGCGTGCCTTGGTGGTCTCCTGCTTGTGCTCGTGCAGTACATTTGAAACGCGCTGCATGGGGCAGGTACCGGTACAATAGAACCGCTGAGAGACTTCTTGATTTTAAGCAGAAGCATGCGATCGCTCGCCGTGTCATCCGTGAAGCTAAACGCACTTGTTGGCAAGACTGTTTCCACCATCACCTCTGCTTCTTCTATGAGTGCAGTCTGGAAAAAAGTGAGGAAATTGAGTGGTAAATATCCTCCTGACCCGGCTCCTGTTCTACGGGTCGCTGGTGTTGATGTAGCAAACCCTCTCGACGTTGCCATTGAACTTGGCACACATCTGGTCCGTATTTCCCGAGGGCTCCATCTATGCCCCTCGTTTCTTTCCTCAGTCTGCCAGGGAGTTAGTACCCTTGGACTTTTCTTCTCTCAGAGAACAACAGTATAATGTGCCTTTTACACTTCAAGAACTAGAGGCAACGCTCTCAGGTGGGCCTGACGACATTCATATTCGTATGTTACAACATTTACAGCCCTTGTGGCTTAGCGCTTCTTTTTGATTATAATAATAATACAACATTTACATCGGTCAGCCCTTGTAGTCCTCTTACACCTCTTCAATCTTATTTGGGCACAAGGAGTTCTTCCCCAGCTGTGGAAATCTGCCATTGTTCTCCCTTTCCGCAAACCGGGTACTACAGGACATGATGCCTCCCACTATCGTCCCATCGCTCTTACTAGTGCAGTTTGCAAAGTGATGGAACGTCTCGTAAATTGACGTTTAATGTGGTATTTAGAGACACACAACAGTCTCTCCGCTAGTCAATATGGCTTTCGTAAGGGTCGTTCTACCATAGACCCCTTACTACGCTTGGATACGTGTGTTCGTAATGCCTTTGCGAATAATCACTCGGTTATTGCCATATTTATTGACCTTGAGAAGGCATATGTCAACTTGGAGGTATAATATTTTGGCCCAGGCCCATTCCTTAGGCCTCTGAGGCAATCTACCATCCTTCCTTAAGAACTTTTTAACTGACAGACATTTCCGTGTTCGAGTCAATAATGTTCTTTCCCCGGACTTCGTCCAAGCTGAAGGTGTCCCTCAAGGATGTGTTCTAAGCACAACACTTTCTCCTTGCTATAAATGATTTGGCATCTGTTCTTCCACCCAATATTTGGTCATCACTATGTTGATGACTTCGCTATTGCTTGTGCAGGCGCTGACTGTCATCTTATTGCAGTTTCTCTCCAGCATGCGGTCAACCGTGTTTCCACTCGGGCCACCACGCATGGGTTTAAATTTTCAAGTACCAAAACTCACCAAATTACTTTCACTAGACGCTCTGTTATCTCCGATCATCCTTTGTATCTCTATGGCTCCCGTATCCCCGAACGTGATAGTCAGGTTTCTAGGCCTTCTCTTTGACCGTAGGTTATCCTGGAAACCTCACATTACCTCTGAAGGCAACTTGTCACAGCCGGCTAAACCACCTTAAAACCCTTGCTCATCTTTCCTGGGGAGCTGATCGTCGAACTCTGCTTCGCCTACATTCAGCCTTCGTTTTATCGAAACTATTATGGTGACCAGATTTTATTCCGCGGCCTCTCCTGCTACTCTCTCTAGCCTTAACTCTATCCATCACCAAGGATTACGTTTGTGCCTTGGTGCTTTTCGCTCTTCCCTTGTTGAGAGCCTCTATGCAGAAGCGAATGTTCCATCCTTGTCTGATCGCCGTGATGCCCATTGCCTTCGCTACTATGTACGCTCTCACGATCTGCACAATCCTTCCATTTATAGAATGGTCACCGATGTTAGTAGACATTCTTTATTCGTTCGCCGCCCCTGTTTGCTCCGTCCCTTTTCTCTTCGCCTACATTCACTCTTGTCTTCCCTTCAGTTACCGCCTTTATATGTTCATGTAGCATCTCACTTTTCTCTACCCCCCTGGGAAGTTCCAGCTGTCCGGGTCTGTTCTTTCTCACTCCCTTGCTCGAAAGCTCAACTGCCTACGGTGGCTTCCCGCTCTCTTTTTCTTGATCACTTCCACTCCCATTCTCATGCCACCGCTGTGTACACAGATGGCTCTAAGTCTTCAGACGGCGTCGGATTCGCAGCAGTGTTTCCGGACAGCGTCGTGCGGGGGCATTTACTATCTTCAGCTAGCATTTTTACTGCTGAACTGTATGCCATTCTTGCAGCACTTATTCGTATCGCATCTATGCCTGTGTCATCATTTGTAGTAGTCTCAGACTCCCTTAGTGCTCTACAGGCTATACGAAAATTTGATACATCTCATCCCCTAGTTCTCCATATCCAACTTTGGCTACGCCGTATCTCTACCAAACAAAGATAGTTTTTTGTTGGGTCCCTGGTCATGTCGACGTACAGGGCAATGAACAGGCAGACACTGCTGCGCGGTCAGCAGTACATGACTACAATTTCCTATAGAGGTGTTCCATTTCTGGACTATTTTGCTGCAATAGCTACCCACCTTCGCACCCGTTGGCAACAATGTTGGTCAACTCTGCTCGGTAACAAACTTCATTCTATTAAACCGAGCATAGGTTACTGGCCGTCTTCTTGTCATCAGTGCCGAGGTTGGGAGACCACTCTCTCCCGCCTTCACATTGGCCACACTCGTCTTACTCATGGGTATCTCATGGAGAGGCACCCTGTTCCTCTCTGTGAGCAGTGTCAAGTTCCAGTATCGATTAGCCACATTCTGTTAGACTGCCCTCTCCATCAACGAGCACGCAGAATTTACCTCCAACGTCGTCTTCGTTCTACTACTCTCTCTTTACCTTCCCTTCTTGCTGATGGACCCTCCTTTAATCCTGACTCTCTCATTGACTTCTTGACAACGACTGATTTACTCCACAAACTCTGATGATACTTTTCGCACTCCCCTCAGCCCTTTCTAGTTCAGTCTCTTGCTGCGCTTTACCCTTTCACCATCCACTACCCCGCTGTTATCCATAACCTATTACTCATCCATCTCCCTTTTGCCACCTGATGCCCTCGCTTCCTTCGTGCCCTGCAGCGCTGTATAGTCCTTGTGGCTTAGCGCTTCTTTTTGATTATAATAATAATGTGCAGTAAAGTAAGAGAACTTAAGTATGCATTAGTGAGAAAGCATTTTTTATTTAGCATTTTGAAAATAGAATAGAGATTTGTCTGTACAACAGTATGTAACTTTTTTAAAGCACACATCTATTATAATAAAGGAAAACATTAACTTATAACCCTGTAAAAAATAAATAATCCCAGCCACACAAGATATTGAGGGCTGTTTAGCTTTTTGATGGAGTGTACTAGGCTCCACACAAGTCCAGTAATCAAGGTAGTGGTGGAATGTTTATAAAGATAGAGGGTGGCAACAGAGTATATTCCTGGCCAGCACAGTCCAGTAGCAGGAATATAGTAGAGACTGTCTCCTTGACATCATCATTAGACCAAGCAGCTGGACAGTTAACACAGATTTGAGGGTGAACACTTCCTTCCAGTATCACTTGCCGTAAGTGACTGCTTCACTGGTCTTTACTGACTACTGATCCTTGACAAAACCTGTGGGTTGGAAAAATATGGAGGTTAGGTAATGGCTTAGAGAAATAGGTGGTACATTATTTCAAATAAACCTGAAGCTAATACAGGTAACCTCAGTAAAATCAAAGAAACGAATCCAAGTGCTCCGAATGCTTATTACAGATTATTATTATTATTATTATTATAAGGGGGAAGTGCTAAACCTGGAGGATTATACAGCGCCTGGGGGGGGGATGTGGAAGGCATTCAGGCTTAATTCGGGGAACTGGAGCACAGATCCAATTCCCTAAATCAAGAGCCCCTCACCAACATTAAGGAACCTTCCTTGAGGGGTGCTTATTACAGAATCGAATGAAAAAAAAAAACTTAAATTAGTGACCCACTCACCAGGTTGTAGTAGTTCTTTCCTAGATTAATTACTGGAATGCAGAAACAAATAGTTTGTACAAAATGAAGGTATTCATCACACTTGTGTAGGAGTGGTGTTTTGGAGGCTGTGAAAATGTGTCTGCATCATTTTGTGGTTATTTTTATTACATTGGTGGGGGACAAAGTTGGGCAACCCAAAAATGGAAATGCACACAAGGGTCATACAAACTTTTTTAAGTCCCCCTTGCTGTGCATAGTCGTTCTGGACATGATCCATTTAGATGACATTCAACTAGTTTCCACCCCCCTCTCCCTTCCAAACAAAACTTAACTAAGTTTGGTTATTCAATATATCAGTGATGTGTATATTATGAACTTGTGTTAATAAACTTTTTCCTCCTAATTGACTATTCTAATGGCACTTCTATTTTCACTGCAGACATCGAAGGCCAAGATGGGAAACAAGACTTAGTCAGGATGTGTTAAATACTGAAACATTCCATGTTTTAGTTAAGTTAATGCAGTGAAGGAGTCGGTTAACATTACACAGATATTTATATTCATTTTGTTTGGAAGAAGTGACTGTTTTACTTTTATTTATTCAAACTTTTATTGAACCACAAAATTTTTTATATATTTTATATTCTTTTATATGAAGCCTCATTGTTAATAATTTTGCAGATTATATTCATGGGGAAGTGCATTTGTGTTTAAATGCATTAAAATCTTAGTATTTATCTTTTAATAATGCTGAGGCTTCATGTATTTGTAAATCTGACTTTATTAATTACATATACATTTAGTACACCTTACCAGAAAGGTGCACAATATTTGTACAGTAATAGCTAAGCTAATACAAGAAGTGTTTCATGCTGGGAAAGTCTTGTAGATTTTTTTTTTTTTTTTTTTTTTTTTTTTGAAAAGCACACTTCACTGAGTGACGAGTGTTTTCTTATACTTCACTTGGAGATGTCCGGTGGAAAAATGCAGATGTACTCAATATTTTTCTATTTTGCAGACCTGTCTACTTTTTATTAATGACCATTATAGTGGTGGGTCCTGTTTATTGCTTATTCCATGATTATCTATTGTGAATATTTTTTTAATAATGCACAAATGGATGATCACTGTAAATACCACCAGTGGCTAAACAATTTTCCCACAGTGATAAAATCAGAGGTAATTGTCTGTGAAGAGTTCAAATATAGACACTGGTAGCAGAATCCTTTGAAATATTCTCTGCTACCAGTGTGTTTATTTCCACTAGTTAGCTTCTGCCATTGTCTACCTGTGAAGAGAACAATTGTTCTCTCTAGGAATAAATAATTTGACCTAGCAAATGGTTTTTTGAGTAGTATTAAAACTCAGCAGTATATATTGCTGCATCTTTGTGTACAGTTAACAGGTTATGTGAATGTTGTAAGTTTGTATATAATATTATGGAATGATAGCTCTGTATACAGTATCTTGCTGTTGTGGGTACATTTATGTGAATAAAAAAGGATTAATAAATTTGATTCATTTACATCCCAAGTTAATAGCCACTTTGCACTGTATAACCCATTCATGTTCATTGCTTTTCTGTAAATGTAATGTTGGGTAAATTAATATAATTATAACTAAGTGCTATACCCACAAGAATATTTTATCATGGGGGGAGTGCTAAACACATAGGGATTATATAGTGCCTTTTGTGGAGGGATGGAAGGCATTCAGGGAACTTGAGCAGATCCAATTCCCTAGATGAAGAGCTCCTCAGCATCAAGGAACCTCCCTTGAGGGGCCACAAGAATATAGGGTAAAATGAATGGATTACAGAAATAGTTCCCTCAAGGAAGGTTCCTTGATGCTGGTGAGGGGCTCTTGATCTAGGAATTGGATCTGTGCTCCAGTTCCCTGAATTAAGCCTGAATACCTTCCATTACCCCCACAGGCACTGTATTATCCTACAGGTTTAGCGCTTCCCCCTCAATTATAATAATACTCCATGCCTAATCTACCATACGTGGTCTATAAAATATTCAGTGTGTTTTTGTTTGAGAAAATACCAAGTGTCCCCGTTATAGATGAATATCATCTTTTTTTTTTTTTTTTTTTTTTTACACAGTTTAATTCACATGCTAAGAACAGGTACAGTGGAACCCCGGTTTTCGTCCTTAATCCGTTCCAGAAGGTCAGTCGTATCCTAAATGGACAAACCGAAGTAATATTTCCCATAAGAAGTAGTGTAAATCCAATTAATCTGTTACAGACACCCAAAAATATTAAAAGAAAAAAATATACAATTTATAGAGAATAACTATAGTTTTACATACAGAAAACAATAAGAAATATATAAACGACTAATTTTAATTGATAAATGAACATTTAAATCACTTTTACTGAAGAGACTTGTGGCGTATGGAAGACGGCGAGGAGGGAAGAGTGAGGAGAGGTTATTGTTTGGAAGGGGAATCCCCCTCCATAAGAACTTCATGTATCAAAGCCCTATCCGGGGTTACTTCCCTTCTTTGTCTTTTACTGGCACTAGGACCAGCTTGAGAGTTGCCGGACCAAGCAGACACGGCTTGCAACAGCTTTGTTAGGGTGATATTTCTCCAACTCTTCACATCCTAGCTGCACAATATTTAATGTGGCCCAGAGCCATATTACCATCGACGTACAATGTTCACCGAGTTTAATTATTCCTGTCAACCAACTTTAGAGGTTATCATAAACAAAGGGAGAAGTAATGAATAATTCATGCCAAGAATTGTAAACAAAATCTATGTATTAAGGGGGCCAGATTCATACATGTCTTCTCTGGTGCTGTACCAGAGAAAATGTAATGTTTTCCCTCTGCCTGGCTAGCACACCACCATTGCATGTTTATATGCTATGTAATGCATTTCTTATATAATTTTGAAGAAAATATCAGATGGATTAATGAAAATGTCTATATTAACATAAAATATGACATTTAATGTGCCCAAGAGTGATTATTTTGTATTAGTATTATTACTATGGCATTAAAACTAGAGGGACACTTTTAGTGAACTGGTAACAATGGCGGACTGTCACGAATGTATGAGCGGCCTAAGTGGACGCGTCTGGTATGGACGATTTCCGAGCGGAGATACGTAACCTGGGGTTATATTTCACCCCAAAAAAGTGGTCAAAACCCAAATTGCACTATATCCACACCAGAAACAACAGGGTTCCACTGTACTTAACTTTAGCTGATTTCAAAGCCCAGCTGTAATAGGTATGCTAACAACTATGAGGATGACTCACGAAATCGTAATGATACGATTGCAAACAAACCATACCACTGGCGGGGATAGAACCCACGATCAGTCTCAAAACTCCAGACCGTCGCGTTAGCCACTGGACCAGCTAGCCACAATAAGATTTGTCCAACTAGTTAAAAACTTGCATTTGTGGTCACAGTGGTGCCTATGCTAACCTTCCTATGGTGTAGAAATATACCTAGTTGGACAAATCTTATTGTGGCTAGCTGGTCCAGTGGCTAACGCGATGGTCTGGAGTTTTGAGAGACTCTGATCGCGGGTTCTATCCCCGCCCGTAGTATGGTTTAACTATGAGGATGCTACCCACAGCTGCTAACACCAGGTATAGTACCTGACAACTGCTAGGTGGACAGGTAGCAAGTGTAAGGCATCATGCTCAGCATCATCTACTACAGAATGGAACCAGAGTCATTCAGTGAGCTTAAGGCACTACTAGTTAGCTGTGACCCATTGTTAGTAATGTTATTTGACCTCATTAACCTTAACGCAATTGCATAACACAAGACAAAACACACTGATATCCCTCGTGTCCATCTCTCCGTATGCAGAAATGCTATGCATATAAAGGGCCCTAAGATCTGGAATTCATTGCCTGAACGTACAAAAGGGCCCCTGCTGCCTGCACACCAATTCAAGGCTCTACTTAGAAATCACCTCATCTTCCAAAATTAACCACACAAACACTGTACAGCCTCTCCTCACTTAATGATGGAGTTCCGTTCCTAAGACTACATGGGTAAACGAATTCATCGCTAAGTGAGGAGCATACTATAATGGTAGTGGGTTTGTGTTATCTATCTTTGATATTGTTTTAATGTCATCTTTGCACTATTTTTAACATTTCTGGTATATTTTTAAATGTTATACAGTTATGTGCTGTATATTGTAATAAACAGGATAGAGGAAATCAGCTCTAATATACATTATTTAGGCATTCATACTGGTCAGAGAGCCCGTTGTAAGTCCGAGGCGTCAGTAAACGAATACGTCACTAAGTGAGGAGAGGCTGTATATTATTGCCACCAACAACTTAAAAATTTCCAAATATTACAAGATTTCAAAACTAAAATGGTCTCAATCTCATTATGTAAAACGAGCCAAAATATTATAATTAACTTGTTAATCAATTACTTGTTAATTCAATTAATGTTAAATCACTAACTGCCTCTGTTGTAACATAAAAAATCATGTACAATTCGAACCAGCTATGATAAATATGCCTAGTACTAAGTTGTCTGTTAAGCATTAGGTTCAGTTTTCCCGAAATGCCCTGGCATGATAGTGGCTTTCTTTGTACTTAGCAAATCAAAATTGTAATTACACATTGTAAACTATGCAAAGAAATAAAATCCTTAATCTTTATACAGTGGAACCTCAGCTGTCTAACTTAATTTGTTCCAGATGTTATTTCGACAGCCAAAATGGTCGACAACCAAACCAATTTTTCACATAAAGAATAATGTGAATAAAATTAACCCTTTGACTGTCGAAGGGCCAAATCCTGAAGTTGCTTCTGGTGTCGCAAAATATTCGAAAAAAAAAAAAATTATTTTTTCTTATGAAATGATAGAGAATCTTTTCCCGATTGTAAAGACACCAAAAAAACGAAATTTGATGGAAAACTGACGGAATTACGCTCTCGCGAAGTTAGCAACTTTGGCGATATTTAAAAATCGGCAATTTCGCCCACTTTGAGCCCTATTTTCGGCTAATTCCGTTATTCCAGTCAACCGAACTCATAACTATTTCTTCAGAACTCTATTTTTTCTATCGATTGAGTACAAGAAACTGCCCATTTACCGATTTCAACTACCCAATAACATGGTCAGAAATTTGCAATTTGGCCAATTTCACGAAAATTAAAAAATACGACAATTTCAAAATAAGGTCCAGAATGAACAATGCAGACATTCCTGGCTCTAAAATAACATTTTCTTTGTTCATCAGTCATGTCTCCAGGTCCCTGTGATATTACTCTTGCTTTTTATTTTGAAATTTTATTCAAACAAAAAATAGAAGATTTACTGTTATGCAGACTACTGCAATACTGTAATAATTGTAAAAATTACATCAACCCATTCATGACTGCGTATTAGAATGGCTATTTGGACATTTATTGGACAATGACATCATTTGTTCACTTTTGAACATCGGCAAAAATCAAACATTTCCTGTACTTTGTGCTCCATTTCCAGGTTCTTTTTATAGTAAAATTAATCAAAATCACCTCCATTTCTATAATATAGTTTCCATTCTATCAAATGAGACCAAGAAAACGAGAATACAACCACAAATACTATACGAAAATAGACCACAAAGTCGGCATTTTAATTAAAAGAAACGGTCGGAGTTTTTTTTTTCTCATTATGCACTGCGTGCTCCAGGATTTTTTTTATGTGGTGCACACTGACCACACAGACCCATTCTCTCACATGTGGGCCTACTAGCTTTCTCCTGCCTGATTTGAAGCCGCTAGAATTTATGAGTATATATACGTCAAACACGGTACCTCGCAAACGTATATATACGGCCGCGACAGTCAAAGGGTTAATCTGTTCCAGACTAAAAATGACAATATAATTTATTAATAATAATGTACTAACTTCTACTTAAAGCAATGTATAAAATTATACAGCTCACAGAAACTATAAAAATGAATACTAAATGAAAATTTAACTGAAGTACAGTGGACCCCCGGTTTGCGATATTAATCCGTTCCTGAGAGCTCATCGTAAACCAAAATGATCGAAAAGCGAATCAATTTTCCCCATAAGAAATAATGGAAATCAAATTAATCCGTGAAAGACACCCAAAAGTATGAACAAAAAAATTTTACATGAAATATTAAGTTTAATGCACACAAACTGAAGACATGTACAGTTTGTAGTACTCTACTAACAATAGAATACATGACACTTACCTTTAATGAAGATCTGTACTTATAATGGTCTTACGGGTTTAGCGCTTCCCCCTTGATTATAATAATAATAATGAAGATCTGGTGATGGTTGATGGGATGGGAGGAGGGGAGAATCCCCTTCCAATAGGACTTGAGGTAGCAAGTCCTTTCTGGGGTTACTTCCCTTCTTTTAATGCCACTAGGACCAGCTTGAGAGTCACTGGCAGCCTCACCATGCCTAATCACACTATGTATGCCACTACGATTCTTAAATCTTTCAAACCAACCTTTGCTGGCCTTAAATTCACTCGCATCACCACTAG